TCAGACTATAATTAACAACATAACTAATACAATTTCAGATCGAGCAGTTACAAACCATACCACAATAAAAAAGTTAAGTCTGACATGGAACAAAACCTTCAATGAGTTGAGCTGTCATCTTCATCCTCTAGAAACATTTTCCAGTAGATGTAGATCTGCACTTGCAGTAATAGAAACAGAAAAAAGGAAATTATTTGGTAGCGATTGCATGGCCAGAAATATTGTTGTGCAACTAAATAAACTTTGGTACATGGATGGAAAAGGTGATCCTAAAGGATTTGTTTTATTTTTATTAAAAGAAGAACTTCCCAAGGGTTTACTTCCTAGATACAGAGGAAATCGCTTGCATATTTTTTTTTATATTTGTGGAGTATTAGTTCTACATTATGACGTTTTTAAAACATTTCTGACATTAGGTACTCTTTCATGCATTCGATTACAAGCCAGTTTATCTACTGACTTTGCAAACAATATTACTAAACGAGAACTTTGTGTTGCTGGGTTAATAGGAAAACTTATAACTAGCCCTTGGATGAAAAAATTTTATGTTTCAGCCGAAAAACATTTTATTAAAATTATTAAAAAAGTCCTGGATATGGTTGACTAATGTCTAAAAAATCCATTACAAATCTTATCAAGATCAAAAAATTTCTTTGATGAAGAGTTTGATAAAAAAGATCTTGTCTGGAAGGCTCTCATTGAATTCTACCCTAAAGACGACAGTATGAAAAAAATGATGCTTGTTTGCTTGACTGTATATCTGAAACAATTAATAGGCAATATGAAAAATACTTCAGTATGAAACCCACAGAGCAAATGGAATTTGAAACTGAATCTGCAAGGCTACACAACATGGATGCTGAGGAAGTGATGGCAATGTTTAGTGCAGCTCAGAAATTTGCACCTAATGCAACTCTTTGTTACCTATCATCAAGACTGCGTGCCAGAAAAAATGTTAACAACTATTTAAACAGTCTTCCAAAACATGTTAAAGAGTCTGTGATGGAGTGGGCCATTAATTTTGCAACAAAAAGAAAAGAGATTAATAGATTAAAGATGTCTGAAGTAAAGATGACACGCAGAGCAGAGCAAAAAAGGTAAAAAAAAGATACAAAAGAAAGGAAAAAAATTAAAAATAATAAATATAAGTGTTGAAACTTTTGGAAACGAGTTTCTAGAAATTAGTGAATCAAATTTTAATGATATTTTGAGTGTAATGTCTGGAACTGCCATAGACAGAAATATATGCCATATTTGGTAGAAGATGAAAAAAAGATTATATATAATAGAAAAATTGAAAAAATAAAAAAAAAGATACAGGATACATATGTTGTTGCTTATTGGAACAAGGATGAAGATTATAATGATGCAATAGACTATGATATTCCAAAAGTTCAACTTGCTTGTGACATTATACTTGGTGATCTCATGATGGCATGAACATCTTTAAACCGATCACTTTAATCCATAAACTAATATTTATTATTATTTTCACTCTATTTTCACTTATTTACACTCTAAGGTTTATTTAAATATATAATATTTGAGTTAAGTCACAAAAATTTAGACCAATATACATTTTTTTGATAAAAAAAAATAATTTTTGGGTCCAACTTTTCATAGCCTCTCCATAAATAAAAAATCACAACTTAAAAATCTCATAACTTTTGAAATACTCGACCTGCAAAGATAGTTTTAGTATTTTTAGGAAATTCAAAATTAAAGGCATATATTTATGTAAAAAATATTGTTTTATTTTAAAATTTCAAAATTTCCTCACATCCCTAATATATGTATCAATAAAAAAACGCACATTAAAAGAACAAGAAAATTAAGAAATTGATAAAAAACAACTGAAACTTAAAATGTTTATTAGTTTAAATTCAAAAGTACAATAAAGCTACAGTTAAGTGGCTTAAAATAATATAGATAAAATAATTTTTCTACTTTACATCTCTAAAAATAGAGTATAGATGTAAAGTAGAGCTATTTTGTAATGCCTAATTCGTTTTGTTTTTTTCAAAACATTCAGAACTTTATTGTACAATACTTAAATTCATTTATTTCATTTGTAATCTTTGCAGGTTTTATCCTAAATAAAAAAAAAGTGATGTAAATATAACACTTTATTTTATTATTACTCTATAATAACTTACCAACAAAACGACAATAACAAAAAATGTTGCAATATAACATGTTAAGCAGGAAAGCGGTAAATTAATAATTGATACAATCATCTCACGTAATAATACTTAAGATATAAAATTAAACCCTTATCATTTTTTAAAGATTTATATTTATTCAATATTACCCGAGTAAAATTATTAGTGTGCAAAAAACATATTTCTTTGTAATTATTTTATTTTTGTCTCGCTATACTTGTTGACATCTTCAAAATTTGAGATACTGAGTCCCAGCTATTCCATTCCATTTTGGGTAAATCGGAAAACCTTTTCAAGTCTTTTAAATGACTAGTGGCGTAACAACAATAGGCTGACAGTAACTGTTTCCATGCAAATGTTGCATGGAAAACATAAAAATAGAAACATATTTTCAAAATAATACAGTACATACTGTTATGATAATATGAAATATGGAGAATATATATAAATATATATGTTTTGTATGATATTCTATATACTTTATGTATTGTGTTATTTTGTTATAGACTAGTATAATTCTAGCTCTTTTGATTGTAAAGAATAACCATATTAATTATGTTGGCTCAAAAGAGCTATAATTATACTAGTCTATAACAAAATAACACAATACATAAAGTATATAGAATATCATACAAAACATATATATTTATATATATATTCTCCATATTTCATATTATCATAACACATACAAAACAACAACTGTAAATACAATACAACAACATTTTTTGGAAAGTTAGCGTTATATCAAAGGGAATCTAGTCACGAGCATAGACTAAAGGAAACGGAGTTTCAAATGAAGTTAAAAAAATTATTGAATAGAAGGATGAGGCAAACTTTTCTAATTGAATATAAAGTCATAAATAAACATGACATTAATTGGCGCATTATTGGCATTAAAATTAAGGACTCAATAAATCAAAACATCATTTTTTACTAACACATTGGATTCTAATAAACAATGAAGTTGATATAATGAAGAAATAAGGAAATAATGAAGAAATAATAAAATAATGTTTTCAAAATCAATAACAGATTAAAACAGTGGCGTAACTAGGGGAAAGCATAACCCCGCAAGGCGGGGGGATCCCAGAGCTTAGAGGTCCGCGCGGAGATTTACAAATTTTACTCATGAATAATATGACTGGTAATAATAATATGAGTGTTACTAATTTCTGTTTTATCAAACACATTTTATGAATTTATAATTTTTCACGTATCCCTACGGACATTTTTGGAGAAAAAATTGAGAAAAAATTTAAGGAGGGCACCTTTACTTTATTGGCGGGGGGGGGGGGGCCATTTATAGTTACGCCACTGGATTAAAAACAAACTTATAAAATTTAAACGAAAAACATCTAATACTAACAGTTGTTAGATTTTTTCTTGAAACTCTTAAAAACATAGCTTTAATTTTTATTATTGTTATTATTTTTATTGCTATTCTATTATTGTTATTACTATTATTATTGTTATTGTTATTATTGTTATTATTGTTATTATTATTATTATTTTTTGAAGAAACGTAAAAGAATATTTTTTAAATTTTATTAATATTGAGGGACGTTTGTCTTTTTTGTTGTTGTTGTACTTTGTTTTTGTATTCTCGTATATTGTTAATTGGGCATTGTAGAGTATAATTCATTTTGTTATATAATTTAGTGCGTTGTTTGCATCGTATGTTTTTTAATTTAAATGTTTTTAATTTTATTTTAGTTGGACATTTTAAAAAATGTATATATTTTTAAAGCTGTATATCTATATTTACATGCATGCATAGCTATGTGAGTGCATGTACACGTGCGTGTGTATACATGTGTGTATCTATGTATGTTGGTAAGTATGTGTATATATCTTTATATTTCTGTTTGTGCGTACATGTAACAATATTAAACTTTCTCTTTTTTTTAATGCTTTTTTGTTTTTCTTTATTTTATCATTAATTTTTATTATGTTTTTGTTATAGTTTTATTTCTTTTAGTTCTAAATATTTATCGTAGCCACAATTATTACTATTTTTATCTTTACTATTATTATTCATATTTTATTATTTTCAATTTAAATAAATGTTATATGTTATTGTTATTTGTTACGTTTTATCAGTCAATTGTTGGTAACTAACTTATATGTATATTTAGCTATTGTGTTTATAAAAACAAGTGACTTATTATTTGATTATTTTTTTAATTTAATAAATATTATAATTGTTATTGATGTTGTTTTTTTATTATTATTGTGGTTCTTATATTTATTACTATAAATATTATTTTTATTATTATAATTATTATTCTGATAATTATTACTAATTATATTTATAAAGATCTATATTTTTGGTGTTTACTTGATATTAGTAGAATTAATATTTATAAATATCCATTAAATTATTTTTCAGAATATATATATGATATGATGATGATATGATATGGTTATTATTATTATCATTACTTTTACTTCTAATGAACCGTCTTCTCATTTATTACTTTTATTCATTCTGTATGAATCGCTAACTGCAGAAAGAACAAGTCTACAAATTATGATTTTACAGGATAGACAAAAGGTTGTTATGCACATTTATTTTCAAACAAGTAATGGTTTAATTAAGGGTTTTTCAATTTTTTTTTTAGTTGTTCAAAGGTTAGTAAGGATCTAAAAAATATATACATAATATATTAAATGTATTTTGTTATAAGTATAGAACATTTTTTTAAACATGAAAATGATCCTTCTTGTAGTTAATGAAATTTAAAAATGAAAAAGACCTGCTAAAATTTTGCAAAGTAAATTATTTATAAAGCAAAATTAAAATAATGCTATTTTGTGGTTTTATTATTACAATATGATCCACAGTATTACTTAAAAACTTCATTTATTAAGTTGGTTATTGTTATATTGGTTTTAAGAATAGCCACAGTAGTTACAGGCCATGAACATATTTTATTCCAAAATTAGAGCTTTTAATCCAAAATACCCGGTGGGAAATTGGCTTGCGAATAGCTAGCTATAATCGTAACGATAAAGATAGCGATATGGCCACGAGGATCGCTAGCTTTTTTAAGTTAGCGAAAAGCTATCGATTTTTCTAAAGATAAAGACAGGTATTTAGCTACGAGGACAGCTAGCTTTTTAATCTAAAAACCCACTGACTATTGTAACTAACGTCATATCGTAATAAAATCGCTATCTAAAAAATTTTGATATGTAGCTACCAATCGGCTATAGATTTGTAGATATTTTGTAGCTAGCTACAAAGCTACGATATGTAGCTAGCGATACTTTGCTACAATATCGCAATGTTTAAAGTTCAATTATTCTCATAATTATAATAGACTCATCACTAAAAATCAAATTTTTAAAGATGTTAAAGACATTAGAAAAAAACAAGAAAAAAAAAATCGCTTGAAAATCGCTGTAAAGCTAGCTAGTCGCTCGCTAGTTCATTTCTCACCAGGTATAGACTAAGACTTTTTTGACTAACTATATGGGCAATTCTGGTTAATGACGAAAAGGCCAGTACCCGAATGGGCCAGTTTGTGCCAGTCTGACTTATAGAAATATCTTCTGAAAAAAAAAATTCTTTTTCAACTTTAGTTATATCATTAATAATAACCAAAGCCGTCCGTAGGGTGGCGCGTGTGGAACAGCTGCTCCAGGTCTCGCGGTTAGGAAGGCCTCGCGCAGCGAGGCCATCCTAAACACGACAATCAAAACTTTTACTTATTGTTAACGAGACTAAAGCCTCGCCTTATTCTTGTTAAAAAATAAAACGCCTTACTCTTGTTAAAAAATAAAAGGCGTTACTGTCGTTAAAAAATAAGAAAAAGTTTTGGTTAAATGAAAATAATATAAGAAAAATATACATGACAAAAATATCTCACTACCTGCGCAATTATATATTAATTAAAAAAATATCAACATGATTCTCCTCCGTATGTGATAACAAGATATTTATTTTCCTATTCAAAATTTACATATAACCATATAATAACAATAATAATAATAATAGCTATAATAATACAAACAATATATTTATAACAAAATATAACTAATAAGAATAAATAAAAATAATTATTTGAAAAGGAAGGTGTCACTCAAACAGAAGCCTGATCAAAGGAGTGACACCAAATAATTTTGACAATAATAATTAAAAATAATAATATTATCTATAATAATACAAATAATATGATGACATGAGTGTCACTCATGATCAAAATGAGTGTCACCAATTAATTATAACAAGTAGTATAAAAATAAAATAATAATAAAAATAACAAATATGAAACGAAAATCGCTGAGAGAATAAATAAAATAATAATAACAACGATAAAGCTAAAATAAGTTAAATAATAAGACAAAAAATATGAAAACACTCAATAACAACAGCAAACAAAAATAAAAATAAATAGCAAAACAGTACAAATAAAAAACAAACCTTACACAGACGAAAAAGCAAAATACAAAAACGACAAGATGAAACCCAAAAAATACAAAACGAAAAGGCAAACACAAATACTTCTACAAAATAAAATTAAATTAAATCCGTTAGAAATTTAAATATTACAAATTAAGTCGTTAAAAAATAAGTATAAAACAATCTTCTTATTCTTCGTTTGTAAATTTCTTTATTTTTCCTTTTTTTGTTTCTTTTTATTTGTTTACTTTTTTTCTTTTTTTTTCTTTTTTTTTATGTTATTTTATTGTTTTCACGGCGATCTATACTGCAGGCCTTGCCAACGCGCAAAAAACGTATTTCACTGGGGGCCTATTTAAAACTGTACTTAACTATAATCGCCATTTTAGTGATATTGAAATATGGGTAAAAAGTGTTGTATTTATGGCTGTACCACAAATTATTTATCGGCTAAAAAGAAATCTGATAATTTAAAGATCTCAGTATATCGATTTCCTAAAAATGAAGATGAAAAACAAATGTGGATTAAAGTAATTCCAAATGCAAATCTAAAGGTAACTAATGACACTGTAGTTTGTGAGTTGCATTGGCCGATAAATTTTGAAAAACAACAAGTTAGAGGAAAATTTCGTCCTAAATTTCCACCATCTGTTTGGCCAGGCATACCGTCTTGTCAAATTCCCACTCAACCTCCTCCATTACGTTCAACAAATAGTGCCTCTTCATGTATTCGAAATTTTGCTCAAGATGAATTATCAGCCTTTTTAGAAAAAGATAGAGTAACTTTTGCTGAAATGAAAGAAATTCTTTTATGTAATGAAAGAGATTTGGGTGTTCCATCAGTATGTTTTATGATTAATAGCATTATTCATTTGCAATCACAAGCTTATTCAAATGGGGTTCCATATTTTTTAATCAAGATTAGAGACGATTTACATTTTGAAACTTATCACTATGGAGTCAAAATTAAAATTCCTACTAATTTCTAAAAACAGAGTTTCAAAAATTAATGCATGGTCAATATTAGAAGAAGTCCTACGTTATTTAAAGAGTTTGATTCCTGGAAGAAAAGAAATTGTAATTCAAGAACATTTAGCTTCTATGGGTACACAGTGTGTTGGAAATAAGATTTATTCTAAAGAAATTATTATTAGATCTTTTCAGTATTTTGCTACATCCAGAAGTTTGTATAATCAATTGCGAACAGATTACCAATTGCCTTCTGTAAGAACTTTGACAAGAATAACTTCAAAAGTTTCTAAATTAAACGAAAAACTTTTTTTCACTAATATTTTTCAATCTATTGAAGAAAAACAGAAAATTTGTTTGTTATTGCATGACGAGGTTTATGTTAAAAAAATGTTGTTATATCATGGTGGTACATTGTTCGGAAAAGCAATGGATGATTCAACTTCTCTTGCAAAAACTGTATTGGGTTTAATGGTTAATTGTTTATTCGGTGGGCCATCGTTCATTTCCAAAATGATACCTATAAGTAAATTAAACTCTCAATTTCTTTTCGAACAAATTAGCATTACTATCCAATTGATAAAGGAATCATCGGGTCAAGTCAAAGCCATAATATGTGATGGAAATAGAATTAATCAGGCTTTTTTTAAAATCTTCGAATTCACAGTTCCAAGTAAACCTTGGTTGACTAATGATGGTGTTTTCTTAATCTTTGATTATGTACATTTGCTTAAAAACATTAGAAATAATTGGCTTACTGAAAAAACTGGTCAACTTATATTTTATGATAAAGGGGTACAAAAAATAGCACAATGGGATCACCTGAAAAAACTTTATGAACTTGAATCTAAAAACTTAGTTAAATTGTCTAATTTAAATTTGGATTTTTGTATTATGTAAAAAAACTAAAATTAGTAAAAAAATATAAATTGTTTCAAAGGTGTAAAGACCTAGAATCGTTTCTTAGTTTGGAAGAAGAAAAGAATGTTTGTGGAAATGATGTTTTTTCTGAACTTAAGGTTCTTAGAGAAATTCTACCGGCTCAGGTGAAAACACCTGCAAGAATTTTGAAATTTATTCATCAGATTCAAAACTCATTTCCAAATGCATTTATAACGTACAGAATTTTACTGACTATATCTGTTACCTCTTACTCGTTTTTCTTTATTCATTATTCTCATTATTCTTTGCCCCTGTGCCAATATTGTTGTTATTGGTGACTTTAATGCTCTTCACACTGAATGACTTGGCTCTAAAACCACTGACCCTGCTGGGACTAATGCTCATAGCAGTATTTCTGAATCTCTTACTTAGATAGTTAACTTTGCTATTTGTTTTCCAGACAAAGCTGATCACTTACATTCACTTCTTGATTTGTGTATTGCCTCTGACCTTAGTTTGTATTCAATTTCTTGTTGTTCTCTTTTAGGTGGTTTTGACCATATAACAATCTCTATAATCGATCTCTCTACTTTTATAAAAGATTTCTCTACTTTTTCTTTAGACTCACTTTATAATTGCATTACTTACTAATAACCTAAAGCTGACTGAGATTATTTTTATGATTTTTTTTGTGGCGATGTTTGGATGGATATTGTTTCTCTCTCTGCTCATAAATGCGCCTACTAGGTAACCTCCTGGATTCAGGAAGGAATAGAAGCTTTCATTCCTTTTTGTCGTTTCCAAGTCATGTCACCATGGTTTTTAAGTCTACTCCATGGTTTTTATTATTTTATGCAGTAGTTATATCTAATCGCAATCATTTTTTTTTTCAATTTTTTGCAGATTTATTTGCAAAGAACTTTTCTTCTAATTCGACTCTTGAATCTTATGGTTATACACTTTCTTTCTTTTCAATCAAACAGATTAACCCATTGTTAGACATTCAAATCACTCCAGCAAATTCAAATCACTCCATTGCAAAATTTTTTATCTCTTCTACGGCTTGTGGTCTAAACAACATTTCTTTCGTAGTCATAAATTTGTGCTCCAGAATTCTATTCACTTTTCTCTGAGTTATTTAATAAGTGTTTGACTGAGTTTTTTCGTGCTTGCTCGAAAATGACATCTGTAGTTCCAATTTTCAAAAACTCTGAAGAACATTCTGACCTCTCCAATTTTCGCCCGATTAGTCTTATTTCTATTATTAGCAAGATCTTTAGTCGTAGATTAACAAAACTCTAACATCTCATCTTGAGTCAAATAGTTTACTGTCAGTCAATAAATACAAATTTTGATACTCTTGCTCTGTTACTGAAAGATTTTATTGTGTATTAGATGAAGGCGGCAAGATGGTGCTATTTCTCTTGACATATCCAAAGCTTTCAACATTACATTCTGGTCTTCTTCATAAGCTTCCCTTTTATGGTATATCTTGGAAAGTTTTTGAGACTATCAAATCATTTTTCTTAACCAATTTATTGAAGTCATTCTCAAAGGCCATCACTTTTCTTCATTTCCAGTAACTTCTGGGGTACCTCAAGGTTCTATCCTAGGTCCTGTTTTGTTTATCTACATTAATGATTTTCCTGACAACCTTACATCTTAAGAGATCTACTTGCTGATGACTTAACTTTATACTTCTGCTTTTATACAAAATGTCTTTTTTATCAATAGCTTAGAGCAGGCAGCCAATCTTCAATCCGATCTCACTTCTGCAACAGATTAAAGTTTGCAGTGGTTTGTGAATTTTAACTCCAACAAAACTTAATTATTTACTGCAAACAACTATTGCAATATTATCAACATCCCTATATTGTTGAATAGCAACCCTTTCACTGAGTTCTCTTCTTTACGACTTTTTTGATTATCGTTTATTACTGACCTCTCATAGAAAAAAAAAAAGGAAAATACAATCGCTGAAGATCTGCTTAGATTGCTCCTCTTTATCGTGCTCGTCATTTTCTTACTCCTGGTTCCATACTCTACGTCTACAATTATACAAACCTCTGATTGATTTGCTAAATAACTCCATCTCTACAATGAAAAAGAACATTTTCCACTTCTTAACTTTAAATAGAAATTCTAATATTAGTAATGCACGTTGTAATTCAAGGCCTGCATAACAGACAATCTAAAAATTTATTTCGTATGACTGGACAAATTGTTGGTTTGCTAATCAATTTTACACAAGATAGATTGCAATAACTTATCACAAACATTAACACCTTACAAGAACTTCTTGTAAGGTGTTAATGTTTGTGATAAGTTATTGCAATCTATCTTGTGTAAAATTGATTAGCAAACCAACAATTTGTCCAGTCATACGAAATAAATTTGTCCAGTCACACGAAATAAATTTTCTCCGATATCTGTAACCCCTTCTTGAAGAAGGGGTTACAGATATCGGAGAAAAACCGGAAACAGGAACCATCAGCACTGAAGCACCAATACATTCGGGTCTTTGGCTTTGTATTTTTAAATTGTTTTTCATTGAAAAAAAAATAACTATACGTCTTTATGAAAATTGGCTTTTTCTTACAATTTCCATTTAAAATTTTTTTCAGAAGTACCCCCTAAAGAGTTCTTAGTTGTTCCTAAAAAAAATCTTTATCTAAATCATAACTGATAATATACAGAGTAATAATATTAAATCAGGCCCGTAGGAACAAAATTATATGAGGGGGGGCAATACTACTGGGTAGGAAAAATAGTATTAGGTCAAAAACTTTGTCTAAGGAACTCACGCCGAAAATACGTATAACAAATTCGGTCTTTTCTATCCTTTTTTTTCTTTTATATCTTTATTTACAATCGTTTGCTTTTTTCTAAAAACTAACTTCAAAATTATTTATTTGAAAAATTATTGAGAGCATATGCTCCTGCCTATCCCCCTACGGGGCTTTAAATATAGTAAATCTGGCTTGTTAAAACTCAAAAATAACTATAAAATTTGTATTCGGATACCGTATAATTGAGACAACATGAGGCCAATCAACATAAACAATTTCTCTAGTGTCTTTCTCGCGAGTATAACTTACCGCTGTGTCTGCTATAACCGGGACTCATTGTAATCTTTTTTTATTATCCTAATCATTTGTTATTAATTTTTTTCAATTTAACAGACACATAATTTGAAATATTTATATTATTATTTAGAAGGAATTCCAGCAGCCAAAATGTCTGATATGGAAGGGTATGTTAACTCATGATATTCGTGATTTTTTTAGTCAATTGATTTTTTTTAGACAATTTATAAACTTTTGGTTAATATATTTCAACCATGTAGTTAATCTCAATTTACTGGTAAGGTTGACCGACACTGATAGGCTACAAGCCATAATCTAACTTAGTCTTCATTTTCTTAAGCAATTAACATTTTTTTAATAGTAAGCGATTAGCAATGTGTTACAGATTTTTACAAAGAACTAAAAAACAACATTTTATTTCATTAATAGTTCTTATTATTTATTAATGGTGTTTTTATGTGTTAATGGTGCGCTTATCTTGTATTAATGGTGTGCACAGAGTTGTTAACAAGGTCAAAAGTAGCAAGGCCAAGGCCTAGATAAAGAGTATCAAGGTCAATCCCTACGCAATTATTTCCAAGACCAAAGGATTTGTTTTTGACTTCTGTTAAGGCCTTATTAACAAAACTGTTAGTAGCAAGTGCTGTGGCAATTAAACCACATTTTTTAAAAATAGACCAAGGTTATGTGCAGAATTCAATGAAGTCAATGAGAAAATATACTTGTAGATATTTATGAGCCATAAAAAGAATACATAGAAAATTAAGAATAAAAACTTTCAAATCTTTAGATTTATGTATTTTTTATTTGAAGGCCAAGACCGAAACAATCAAGGCTAAGACTTTAATACTTTAGACTAAGGCAAGGCCAAGGACTTACAACTTTGGGTGTGTGTATTGTAATAATGGTGTACTTTATTGTAGTAAATAGTTAGAAATCTGTTATGTTATTTGTTACCTAGTGGTGTACTTTATTGGTGTAAGCAGTTAAAAATCTATTATGTTGTTATTTTGAAGCCTACTGGCCATTTCAAGCATTTCAATAAGCCAAATGGTTGATTGAACAGACAGAAATGAATGGTGACAAACAAAATTGTCAAAATCATTAGCAATGAGGCACAGTTTCACCATAGTAGTTCTGTTAATTAGCAGAATTGTGTATTACATCCACAAAGAATGACTGTTGTGGTCTATGGGCTGGCTGTGTCATTAAGCTGTACTTCAAGAATGAGGTCAATTAAGCAGTTGCTGTGTATGTTGGTTTGCTGTTGCAAGATTATAAGAAGCTTTTTGTGGTCAGAAGTTGAAAAAAATGGACTTGAATGATGGGTAGTCATAACTGAAAAATACCATATAGCTATCAAAATAATTGTTATCTAGCGTGAAAAATTTAATGGCTGTGTCATCTCACATTTTGATGTTATTTTGGTTGCCATGAACATGTTATGTCACACTGTTGGACTTTTCTTTGGGGTTATTTAAAAGAAAAAGTGTACGTCATAAACCAAGAACAATAGCTAAAGGATGAGATAGTTTGTCACATTAACTTTAAAACTCAATTATGTCTGAGTCATTAAAAGTATCGACCGTTAATTAAAGGTATTTCATTAAAGATGTGGTGAGCATTGAGGTGATAATTTGTTTTACTCATTATCTTAGATCCTTTTATCATAGTAAAAAATATTATAATTCTCTCAAGATAATTCTCTAAAAACTTTTTATTTTATTTACAATAAACATATAGTACATTTTGTTGGGATCACCCATTACAAAAAAGAATAATACAAAAATAAAGTTTGACCAATCCACTTTTTACAAAATATTTATGTTCATGTGAAATTTTTACAAATAACATGACTAAAAACATCTTATAATGTGTATGACAAGCTTGTTATGATTTGGTCAAATATTTTCATTATGAAATCGTTGCTGTAAATTGACTGATTTGCACATACCTAATACAAGTGTGATTTAACTTCTCTGTGAACTTTGGACTGTTTATGTTCTGCTTTATCAAAGTACAATTATTCAAAATGCCTTTAACTGAATTTGTTTATTCTGATCATTGTTATACTAATTAAAGAAAATAAATCTCATTTATAATTAAAAGACAATGTTTGTTTTTTTATTCATATTTTTTTGGAAAAATTATTTAATTTTTTAAAAGAAATTGTAAAAGTTAAATATTCAACAAGTCAAGAAAAAAATTTAACACTAGTTATTTAAAAAATTAGTTTTTTTTGGAATGCTTTTTTATTTTATATTAGCTGTATTTTAAGTTATTAATTTAGAGATGATGGACCTGTGAAACCCACAGTTGTCTCTGAAGCTGGTGGTCGTATGGACATCAATTCTGCATTGCAAGAAGTTCTCAAATTGTCAATGATTCATGATGGGTTATGTCGAGGTCTCCGTGAATCAGTCAAAGCTCTTGATAAAAGACAAGCTGCATTGTGTGTTCTTGCTAAAAACTGTGACGAACCAATGTATACTAAATTAATTGAAGCATTGTGTGCAGAACATAGCATTAATCTTCTCAAGGTATTTTCTTACAATACAAAATCTTTCACACTAGAAACATTTTATACAATTTTTTTCTCTTTAAATTGGTACTACAATCAAAGCAATTTAAGTTCCTATACATAATTAAATTTTAGGTTTAATATTTTTTATATGTGTGTGTGTGTGTGTGTGTGTGTGTGTGTGTGTGTGTGATGACATAATATCATAATATATATGTGTATATATATTGTAATAATAATGTTTTTATGGAACGTACTTTGTTGTATGTGGTTAAAAGATTAGAGGGATTTTTAAAAAAATTATTTATGAAAAGAATGTTTTTTTAAAAAAATAGGTAGACGACAATAAAAAACTCGGTGAATGGGCTGGATTATGCAAGATAGATAAAGAGGGAAATGCACGAAAAGTTGTTGGATGCAGTTGTGTTGTTGTCAAAGTATGTTTATCTTAAATTTCAAACATTTCCTCTTTTTTTCTATGTATTAATTTTTAATGGATAACTAATTGTATTTTAGGATTGGGGAAAAGAAACGCAAGCTCACGATGTTCTTAATGACTACTTCAAGGCAGCATCACCTCTGAAACATTAAAGGGTTTCATTTTCATAAAAAGATTATCTAACAAATTGTTTGTATTTTCTAGCGTTTTAATAAGAGCTTCTAAATTCATTTGTAACTCTCGGAGAAGCTAATTCTATCATTAGCTCTAAAATATGAGTTTTATTCAATAGGGTATATAATAGTTCAGTCAAAATTTTGACTAGCGCGCTTGGATTCCTATGTAAAGGATTGAAGTGCGGGGATTCCTATGTATGTAAAGGATTGAAGTGCGGGGAAAAAAACTAGATAAATAAAATTTTTTAGAGCATGCAGGAACAGATACAGTAAACGAATGAGACTTAGCTGAATGACGAGTAAAACGAGAATGAATTTTAGTTGATGGAACTAGAGATAATAACTCCTTTGAGCAGTGACCATGATAGTATCTGTAGAAAAGAGGAAGAGATGCAACTTTACGACGATGGGAAAGAGGTTCAAGCTTAGCAGATAGTCCAGGTCCAACAACATTTACAATGCGTTTTTGGACCTTGTCAAGAAGAGAAAGTGAATCGTTAGAAGAACCAGCCCAATTATGACAACAGTATTCCATACAGGGACGAATAAGAGATTTGTAGAGGTAGAGAATGGAATCAGAATTGTATATGTGGTTTCCATGAAAGGTCAGTAGTAAGCGATAATCCAAGATTGTATATGTGGTTTCCATGAAAGGTCAGTAGTAAGCGATAATCCAAGAAGACGTAAAGAGGAGGACTCAGTAAGAGGATTGCCATTCATTAATATAGGAATGTTGACCATATTACGGTAGTTGTTTGCAGTAAGTAATTGGTTTTTTTAGAGTTAAAATTCACAAGCCACTGTGAACACCAATCTATTACTGAAGTGAGATCAGATTCAAGATCAGCTGCTTGTTTTAGGCGATCGAAAAGAGAAGACTTTTTGTCAAGACAGGAGTATAAAGTTGAGTCATCAGCAAAAAGAGCTACTTTAGATGAAATAAAATTCATAATTTATTTTTCTAAATTAGGGTTTAGTATTTAAAAGGGTTTGAAATATTTCTGACTAGACTGTTGTTGATATTTCCGCAAGTTATAACAAAAAAAATTTCGAGTACAATAATACAACTTGTTTGAAGTATACATAAGTAAAAGAATATATGATTTACTCTGAATATTCCTGCTGGATCTAGCTTAATAAAAATTAGCATTCCACTAAATGCAACATTTTGTATAATTGGAATCAAGAATTTAACAGCGCCGAAAACAAAATAATCTTAAGATGTAGATTAATGGTTTAAAGACAACATCTGTTTCCAATAACGCATCAACATATATTTTCTTATACAGTATCATTTTATATATATTTGAAAAAAGAGCTGCTAAACATAAAATAGCAGGTTATCAGTTATTCAAAGGGAACTGCGTAAAGGTAATTAGAGTTAAGCCAAATGTTTTATATAGATTTAAACAAAGGAACCGACAATCGCTATGTTAATTATTGAAACTTAATTTGGCCAAAATCATTTTGTAAAACATTTACTAACGAGTAAATAATAAAATAATGAAAAGTTTAAGCCTATTTATAAAGGTAAAATTTCTACACTGTCTGGATCATTTAATTAAAACTAATTTGACTGAGGAAAATTAAAACTTATCATAATGTTAATCAATTCTAAGAAAATTATTCAAATTAAATCAAAAACTAAAGATCAATTAAAAACAAAAATGGATTGAAGAACAAAATAAAGAACTTACTGCATCAAGTTTTGGTACAGTTATAAACGTATCAAGTTTTGGTACATTTATCAACGTAGAACTAATAATTCTCCAACTTCATTGTTAAAAAAGCTTATAAGAAATTGTGATAATAGTTTGCAATCGCAAGCTTGTTAGTGGAGTTAAAATAAAGATATTACTCTGAAAACTGGTTCAATAAGATTTTACCTTGTTTAAATACATTTTATTTTCAATTTATGACAAAAAAAAAATATTTAAAAGTATGTAAAATTTATTATGAGAAATAAATATTTTTTTTATTCATCAATATTTTCTTTGTTGGGAATTGCATAAAACAATAAATTTTTATGTTTTACTTAGTTGCTAAAGCATTTAGGTACATACATGCAAATTCCCGACTTCTTTTTTTTGTTTTTTTAGTTGAAAAACATTGTTTGGTGCACTTGGTGTTATCTTTTCTTCGAAGTCTTAGATAGTGCAAATTTTATTCCAATAATATAGTTTTTAAAATTTAAACTAAAAAATTTAAAAAGTGTGAAATAAAATACATCAAAGTCTATTGGAACAATCTCAGTTTATTCAATATTTGACATTTTACTAGACTCATTCTTGTTGTTGACTTCCGCGTACATAAAAATACCATAATGCATTGCTTATGGGGAACGGTGAATTACAATTACTGTATATTATAGGTTTTATTTATCTTCTTTTATTTATCACTTACAATTACTGTATATAATAGAAGATTTTCTATTGCTCAATGAGTTCCAGAACTCAAATGTTCAGCTTAAACCCTTAAAGATCTTTTGTAGGAACCATTTTTTAACTCAATTTTTACTTTGATTGTTTTACATTCTAGATTAAATGTATAAACCTATGACATCTAAAAATGGTTTCCAAGCGGTTTGGGTTTTAAAGTGCCTCTTAAAAAAGGTATTAATTAATTGCTCAATATGCAATTAAAAACTTGTTTTGCTGTACGATTATTGATACATTTGGATGTAAAAAAAGGAATTTCATTTTTGCTGTGTTGGGAAACATTGAACAGTGACTTAAGTGCATTCCTTCCTACTATATTAAGTTTTTGCATTAATAAGTCTTAATTGCAAAGTTCAAGACAAGTAAGTACGGAACCGCCAATGTTTAGCTGGACAATAGAGCTTGGATAAGCAAAGCGGATTCCAGACTGAAAAAGAGCTTGAATTATTGCCCTGAATTTTGATATTCTGTTGCCAATATTTAAACAATTAAGTGAGTTAAAAGGAGAGCTTTTAGTATCCCAAATAAAACCTAAATGATTAAAGTTTATCATCCAGTTTTATTTGTGTATATTACAAACTGCTATAAGCTTTTTAATTACAGACAGGGTAGAATTAAAAAGTATGATGTCATCAGCGTGTGCCACAACACCTGTGTAGTTTCCATAAATTGATGTCCCTACGATAACTTTATTTTGTATGGTTTCAAGTAGTCTTTGAGTACATATATTATAGAATCAAATAATAGAATATAATAAATAATAGAATAATAATCAAATAATATAATAAGTGATGTAGACATCAATTTTGGGGCCTCACCAAGGTTAATAGTTAAAAGTTAAAGAATTTCCTTAGCCACTCTGTTAGGGTTTTTCAACGTACATGTTTTGAATGTTATGCAGAGGCTCCAAACGCATCTTTGGCCTTGTTTAATTTTAGGTGATTTAAAATTTTCATCTGATATCACTACCACATCAAATTTAGTAAAGGTTGACGTATATACGTCATTGCTTTGGTGTTTAAACGTTTTTCCAAACTATCGGCAAATTCTTTAGTGATTGATTCCTTGTCATTTTTATTATTTACAGTAAATAGTTTTGGGTTTGTATCAGACTTTATATATCTGAAGGTTTTTCAAAAGATTTTTGGGATAGTATTTTTTAGCTTTTCGATTTTAGTCTATTGCTTGAAAAGGTTATAGTTTTGAGCTTTTTTGACAACGTTGCTGAAATTTTTACGTGCCATTCAATATCCATTAAAATTTAGCGAGCTTAAATCTTTTTTTATTTTAGGGCCAGAACCTTTAATTTCGTCTACTAGTTCAAAATCATTTGTTTTTATAAATTCTAATAAAGCCTTGAAGTAGTTATTTTTCGTAAAGTTTGATTTTTCTAATAAATCGCTTCTCTAATTCCATCAGGAAACGATTGAAAACCACCGAGTGCAATTACTTCGCCAACACTTTCGTAATTATTAAAAAGACCTTTAATTATAACTAATTGATTTGTGTATTCATCCAAGAGATAAATAACAATAATGATAATGTTAGTATTATTTTTAATAAGGTTTATTACAAGAATATGATCATTTTTGTAGAAAATAATGGCATTTTGAAACAAATTTTTCCGAACAAGAAACGCATTTCTACCAAATGGTCAGTTTATGTTACAATACAACTATTTTTTATAAAAAATTTCAGTTTATAAATCTAAACTAAAATTTTTTACAAAACAAGCATAAAATTATTTAATTCTAGCGTGGCTTGCGGTCAAATGCGCATTTTCTAACAGCTGTTTTATAATAATTTTTATGGGTTTAAATATGCCGATCTAAGTTTCATACTAAATAATAAATTAACAGCTCATTTTCAATAAATCGAGATTTATTTCGTCGATGATTTTTAAAGCCTGTTTACACTGAAATTTTTTATTTTTATCAGTGACTGAAAAAACTATTTTCTAATTTTCAAGACAGATTTTCACTAATTTTTTTTTTTTGATGACGCGTAAAAATTAATAAACAGAGGAGGACGGGGGGGGGGAGGGAAGCGGGTATCTTAATAAGTTTGGGGTGGGTGGAAAAATTTTCCAAAAATTATTAGGGACTCGACACTAAACAAACATTAAAAACGGTACATTTTTATTGTTTGCATACTCTTATCTACATTTTATGAGGGAGTCAAGTTATTTTTCGAATAGAAGATATTTTTTTTTTAATTAAAACTTTTTGAAACTTTTATCATTCTTGCTTTAATTTTAATAATTAGTTATTGGTTCAATGACAAACCATTGTGTTTTAAGAAGTTGCTCAAATGAAAGTTATAAACTTATAAAATGGAAATATGAAATACGCACAGAATATAAATGTAGAAAATAAAAAAATTGGAAGTAATTGTGGATCACCTTTTCAGTTATTTCTTATTCCAGCTATAAAAAAATCTCGTCAACGTGAGATTTGGATCAAACTTGTTAACCTCCTAAAAAAGCGCTCTTAGAACTACTGATTTTATTCTGTCTGAAGAATGATGCACGGGTTTGCTTCAATCATTTTAAAGATAAAGTGCCGAAATTAAAA